GATGAAACTCGGTATTATTTACGCGTCTGGAATATTCCCGAAGCGATTTGAAATTAGAATAGAGAGATAATCTAAGAAAGAAATGCAACCATTCACCTGGACAGCCTTAAGCCAAATGAACCTATTGTTCCCAATTAGCCTCGCGCAAGGATAATCTACTTTAGTCTTCTCAAGTACACACAACGTCGCATTGCAGGTTTTAGGAAAAGCAACAACCATTACGAGTTCCATTTGAATTCTTAAAAATTCGGTAGTGTTTGTTTATACTGTTTTTTCAATCGTATTCGTGGTAATATCAATGGTAATGGTAATGGTAATATACGCATTTTTTCTTGGGAACCATTTAGTATTCACTGGCCAAGCAAAAAGTACTAGTGCCGTTTGAAAATTACTATTTTTTCTATTAAAACAATAGAAAATAGGTTTCTTAGGTCCAGTCGCTGTTATCGATCTTTCTAAAGGGTGCCCAGTAAAAACGCGAAAAAAATATTATCTCTGTTTTATATTTCAGGAATAACTGACCTTGAATAACCTTGTGTAAATGACCTTGAACATTCATTTGATGTGTAATTATTTAACTCTGATTGATCCTTTTACGATGGATCTTGTGACTAGTCATTTAAAGGTTATTTACAGACAACATTCGTCTTTCGTTCTGCCCTTTTCGTATGGCTAAACAATTCACAGAGTTTGAGTGTACGTTTAACGTACTTTTCAAAGAACAGCCGACTTGGAGATTGACGAAATACGCAGAAATTCATTCCTGGATTTTTCAGTCCCATCTGTCATCACCAGTTTTCAACGGTTGTCTTACGTCTTTCTGAATGTATCCCTTTTTTCATTGGGCAACATTATAGTATTGATGGGTGCTGTCTTCCTAATATTTTCTTTTGAATGATGTGGATTTTCAACGAATTGATTGTCATTATTTTCTCTACGAGTTATGTGTGATATCCATTTCATTATTGAAAGTCCCAAAGTGACGTGCTTTCTGTTACCTGGTACAGTACTTTCTTTATGATTCTGTAGCGCCAGTCCACAAGCTTCCAGGAATGACGGTCTTGTCTAAGACCCACAGGCTTATGGTAATTTTAGACCTTTCCTTACAATGAAATATTCGGTATTCATTGAACAATCAGCAAATACCATTTTCGGTTTAAATTCATAAACCCTTTCTACGAAAACACTTTTTCAGAAAATTAGATTTCTCTTTTCCAGTAACTGTTCTGTTTTTAATACTGATGTGGGTTTCTTAAGATTTTATTTGAACTCGTGTGTAACGGTAACTTCTTGGTTATGTTCTCATTATTTTTTTCGAGTTACATATGATATCAATTTTTGTTGCTGCTGCTGTTGGCTGACCTCAAGAGATGTTTTTTTTTTCCTTGGTACAGTTCTTTGCTTGTGACTCTGTAGAGCTAGACCACGTTGTTCGAAGAAAGATAGTCCTCGCTAAGGCCTAGATATTTCACTTGTTCGTTCCCCATTACTAGTCGTTTTTAGAAAGCAGTTTATACAGCTGACAGTTTCAAAAGCGTCTACATGGCCTTGTGGATGATACATTATTTTCCACCATTCAATCCCTTTTCTACAGACAAAACGTCGTGAGCCTCTTGTTCTACCGCAATTTCCCTGACATGTGTTCTGTTGAGCTACATTCCTTAGTCCCACCAGTCCTGGTCATTGACACTAGGATCAGCCATGCAAGACCCACAAGAGAGAATCATCCCCATTCGCTTCGTATTCCAATAGTATGGAGAATGTTCCACTCGGCCAACTTCTTCCCAAGAACTTCCTAATTGTTGAACAGTCTTTTGGCAGGATGTTTTCCCAATCAGCGCAATCTTGACAGCTTCAGGTCTAGGGTTAATCTTACATAAATCATGACCTTCAATTTTTGCTTTTCTTTCGCTCATACAACACCACACTCTAACTTGAGTGGCTCTTGGGATTTTTATTGGTTGAAAATTAATCTAAAAGTGTTTAGATATTATGGCTATGTTTCGGCGACAAACAAGACATTAATATGTAAGTCGTTATCAGACGAATTATGAACATCACTTGAATTTCTAGGTTAACATTTCAGTTTTGCAGCATCGTTCGGTGTTGTGGGAAACTATCCCTAGTCCAGTCTATTGTATTTTTTTTAATCTCCTATACTAAATTTGTTATATCTTATCCATACAACGATGGATTTGAAGGGGTTTAGTATTTCGCTTTCTTGGGTTAATTGATTTGATTTATTGCGACATATCAACGCTTTTCAGCTTGATTAAATACAGAAAATATAGTTAGATTGTTAGATTTGTTTTGGTGATAATAATTATTTACTCATACAGTCCTACTAATTAACAGATAGCTGAGATGAGAAGAGGTACATTCATATTTTTCCCAAGGTTATTTGCACATGAGTTTATTCATGAAGAACCAGTTCTTTGCTTGCTCCGATTTCAAATTCTGAGCTGTTATCCATTACACCAGTCATACATTTAAGCTTAAAATACCTGGTATTTCCAAGCGGTCACCAATCTAGTTACTAACTAGGTTCAACTTTGCTTAACTTTGCTGATCGTAAGGGAACCGGTGTTTCAAATTGATAAAACCAGTATTTTAGTGTTTTAATGTTTTTGCAGGAATACTGTACACAGATTAAATATTTTATCAGAGAATAACTTAAAATTGTATTTATCTGAAATACATGTAAATTCTCACCTTTAGTTATCTAAATAGATTTAGTAATCGATCGTCTTATGATGAAGTCTTGATAAACTACGTTTCTAAGGCCAAATGCATTGTAAGTCTTTTTTCAAACGTAAACATTTCTGTTACACGTTTACATAAATACTGAGACCAACAAATGTTTATCTTATTCTTACAAAATGTATATAATGTAAACAAGCTGTGATGGATACGAAACTTTAATATTGTAATATACCCTGTCGGTTTAAACAATTAAGAAACAGGGGTGGAGAGCAAGGATAGACGATGTCCTTGCTCTTACAGTAAACAAGTGGAAGGATAATCGTAGCGGATATCTACCCTTACAGTAAACAAGGGTAGAAAGAAAGGATACAGAATATCCTGGCTCTTACAGTAAACAAGGGAAGAGAGCAAGTAGAGGGGATATCCTTGCTCTTAGAGTAAATTAGGTGGAGAGAAAGGATAGAGTATATCCTTGCTCTTACAGTAAACAAGGGTGGAGAGCAAGGATATCCACTAGCGTTGCTCTTAGAGTAAAGAAGCGTGGGGAGCAAAGATACAGAATATCCTGGCTCTTACAGTAAAGGGTGGAGAACAAGGATAACCTTGCACTTACAGTAAACAAGGGTGGAGAGCAAAGATATCTTCTATCCTTGTTCAGAGTAAAATAGGCGGAGAGCAAGGATAACCTTGCTCTTACTGTAAACAAGAGTTGAGAGCAAGGATTCAGGATATCCTTGTTCTTATAGTAAAGTAATACTAAAACTTTTATACGTATAATATAAAACAGGCTTGTACAAAATACAACCCTATTAAATCTCACGCGTGCGGAGTCTTCAGAATCATAAACTTATTGATTTTTATTAGAATAAATTAAGTTTTATGGAACCATGATACGATTCGACTGATATTCCTCTGTTTCTGAAACGATTTCTCACATTCTTCGAATGGAGTAAAACTGTCATATATGAGCCCCAGATGCCTAGTCTTCCATTTGCAGTTTCGATAGCGTCTAAAGGCATCTCTATGTCCGTCTGGGTGACAAATTACTTTCCACCCGACAAAGTCTTACTGAGAGACGAAACGTCATAATCCTCATCAACTCTATTGCTCTTTCGATCGAATGTTCTCATACAAACTATATTCCTTAGTTCCACCAGTTTTAATCATCACAGCTAACACCCACCATGCTATGCACGTTGCAGCGAACCGCCGTTATTCTCTTCGTATTCCATTGGTAAGATGTAAATTTTACTAGATCAGCTTCAACTCTCGAGAGCATAACTCTCCGATCACTTTAACCATAACCTTTTCAGGCCCATGGTCAACCGTTATTTTCCCCTCATGTCCCCATAAATTATGCATCTTACTCTGTAAGACTCTACAATGAGCGGTTCTTTGACTTTGTCCAGGGTGAACATCCCTATAAAAAAAAGTGATATCCACACTGCTCAGAGGGCAAACGTAACGATAAACCAATGCAGATATCAAATTATCCCTGAATCTAAGTTGTGAACGGTTTAATCGATGGATTTTAACTTGAAGGACCTTTTGATTTCCATTCTAACTGGCTATCAAATCAGAATTCTGAGCAATGACATTGCCAGTTTTAAACGGTAATATTAGCCGACAACAGTGTCTTCGAAGGACAACATCTTTCATGAATGATTGTAATTTCTCTATAATTTAATGCCTTTTTATCTAAGCCTTATAATCACCAGAGATTCAAGGTCATCCTGACATAACTGTGTCTAATCACATTGTAACAAGTGAATAGTCATGTGATATTTACAAGTAACGAGAGGAGATATTTGTCTCTACAGCCAGTTTTGCACGGTTGATGATATTCTGCGTCTTCTTCTTCTTCTTCTTCTTCTTCTTCTTCTTCTTCTTCTTCTTCTTCTTCTTAAGGACGTGGATGATCAATGCCTCTCTACAATTTCCTGACCTTTCTAGATCTTAGTAAATTTTGTCACTTTGTTATCTCTCTTAATCCCTGTTCTTCCAACCATATGACACTGACAAAAGTAATTAAACGTTGTTTTTTCTCTTAAGCACAATTGTCGATTTGAAAACGATGCCAGAAAACGAATGCCTCAAATATTCAAAGATGCTTCGTCTTATATATGTCCCGTTCCTTTCAGGACGTTGGCGATCATGACCATCCACAAATTCCTATTGCTATCTCTCCTAATCCCTTGTCTACCGACTCTTTAAACAAGCTTGTTAGGTAGCTTACGTGCTGACTTCCTCTGTCCCTCTTGCCTTCAATATATCCAATGACGGCCAAACATTATTTCATCATTATGTGCCCTAAAAAATTCAGCTCTCCCTTTCTCGTGTTATTCTCAGTAACCATGACATCATTCTGTACAAATACGTTTCTCTTGTCCCATGGATTTCGTCTTCAACTGTGAGGAGATTGTCTAGAATTCAGTGCTCTTTAGATTGACTTATGCCAGGTATAACAGCAAAATTGTCCAAATCGTGTGAAAGCAAGATCTAAAATGGTGTATCATAGAAATGATTAAAGTTATCTTACTGGAATTCTCCGAGGTTTTATGACACTATTGAATTCTACCTTGAGCAATCAGAATGTATAATTTCACTCTCAGTTTAACAGAAGTATCGTGATGAAATCGATCATAAACGAAAATGGCATGTTCATCATTAATTAATCAGAGCTAAGAATAGGACGCTCGTGAAGGATTGAACTAAAGTTCATACATACATATATATATATATATATATATATATATATATATATATATATATATTATTATTATTATTATTATTATTATTATTATTCCAGGATAATTATTGAAGATGATCTTCGCCCTCTCTAACTTCTAACTTTCTTTCCTGGAGTAATAAGCTGCTTCACAAGTTTCATGTATAATTTCATTTTCAAGTCTTTTTTTTACTTCTCTTAGAACTGTCTTAGATGAAATTCTTCTCTGACATGACAAACGCTTTATGGCTTGAGTTGGATGTTTTCTAATTGATCTTTTTAGCTCTAAGTCGAAATGACGATGCCTCTTTCTGTCGTGACTAACTGATCGAGGTTCCCTCTTTTTAAACTTATTCACCGTTCTCTTTATGGTTCTTGAGTGGATTTTGAATATGGGAGACAAAGTATGAATGTTGGCATCATTACTTGGGTGATCTTTTTCCTCTCACCATTGCTCATTTGGGAATACAGAGTTAGGCTGATACAAAACAACTGCTCAAAGTGCCTTTCAGTGATTCTTACGACAAATGGTGTCTAGATGGCTAAAACTCTAATCTGAAAACCTGGAAAAAAGAAACTCAATTAGTTTAGTGTTTTTTTTTTTTTTCAGATATTAAACATTGTATGGGATGGACAATTATCCCACGCTGTTACACGATTTGGACAATTTTGTTGTTATACTCGGTATTATATAACATTTCCGTACATTCCCATGTGCATTTTTCTATGTGGCACATGCATCTAGTAGACTTCAAAATATTTACTGAATGATATTCAATTCATATTGTCTTTATTTTTTCTGTATATTACATATAAAATATCTGTGACGTGTATAGCCATGGCTATACGAAACCACTAATCTCATTAGTATGGTATCAAATTCTTTCTCTAATAAATCGGGGTTTAACATTCGTCCAATTTTAGTCAGAGGTGACTCAGTCTGAGATTGGTCTAAAGCGATATATGTTATCAATATTCTTTTAAATGTTTGTGTGTTTATATGCGTCTGTGTGTATCAACCGTAAAGTACAAGTGTTCATATTAAAATAAAAAAAAATTACATTAAATAAAAATAAAAAAAAACACCTTCCTGGAAAAGTTAAGGTAAACCTATGTCTGTCTGTCTGTCTGTCTATCTATCTATCTATCTATCTATGTACACTTACTTATCTATTGCAAGTCTTTTCATACATATCAACCAATGCGATTCTTATACCAGACCTCTACACTGAGTGACTGGGAACAAACAGTTAACACGTGAAAGTTCGTTGCTAGGAGTGGATTAAGAATTTTTTTTTTTTTTAAATTCTTACATTTTACCTTTGGATTCACTTAACTTGGATTATTTAAAATACTGAAGTAAGTATAATGTTTATAATTTCTTTTTTGAATTTGCATATTTGATGTTCAAACAAACTTTTCCGGTGTGAAATTCACAAGTGTCATTAAGAATTAACAAGTGTCATTAAGAATTCACAAATCTCTTTAAGAATTCATAAAGTTTATTTAAATGTAATATTTTTCTCTGTGCTATTGTTCTTCAACAATGAATATATTAAGTATAAAATTATTTTTAATGAATATTTTATGTTTTCTTTAAGACATTTTACATTACGAAATTAATGAAAATGACACATATTGGAGAATTTATCACATAAAATTAATTTTAAAAATTAAATTCAATAAAATTCAATAAATCTATTAATATTTTACAACTATTCTTAAAATATACGACAAAAATGCAAAAGAGAAGATATTATTCATTAATAATATCGTATTTCTCTTTTTTACATTTTTTGCGATTATTTTAAACAGAGAAATTCATAAAAATGGCACTACATATTTTTTGTCACAGAAAGTTAATTTATTTTGTTATTTTATTAATATTCATAATACCGAATATCTTGATTATAAAAGTCATTCTTTATAACACTTGAAGTATGTGTGTAACGTCCTTGGAAGAAAACAGGAAAATGAATGAAACTCTTTTCACGGATAATTTTCCAAAATTACTACAGAGAAATTTCCGCATTTGAAAAAAAAATGGATAAAAATTCAACTTAATATGTTTCCTATGATATTATTCTTCATGACAAGTATATTGATTTTATAAAATAGTTATTTACGTGTATTTAAAAAGAATTTATCCTGAATTCTACC